GTCCTCTTGACCTCAGAATCATCTCTCCAACTCTGAATCTTGGAGTCTTGAGTTATCAAATATTTGCTTCTTTTATTATACTTTGTTATACATTATCAGCTAACTCCTATATGCTTCATGGAATCCCAGTATAAACCAATCCATGTAACATTTTAAGCATAAAAAACTACAAGAAAATTTATGTAATTTTTACTCTGTGTCTTTGGTGCAAAAGAAATTTTTTAAAAAAAATGTGTTTATAGAAACTTTGAAACTTCATTCAAATAGTCTATGGTGTAGTAAGCCCTTTATAACTTATATTTTTGCTCAGAATTTTATATCTGTATTTTACTTTTTCTTTTTTTGTAATTTTAGTGGGTGTTTAAAATGTTGTGTTATATTATGAAACTTTGATACAGACGTGCCTATCATTGTACTTTATTCAGTATTTCTCCTCTATAGCCCAGTCCTGTCCTTATGCTCCTGTTAGTAGGTTCTGCTTCTACATTGCCCACTCTGCTTGTGTGTCATAGAGACACACTGATATTTAAATCCCGATGTGCAAATAAGAAGAGAATGCATTATTTTCTCTCCTTTTATGGTTAAGGGGAAGGTTCTTCTGATAGACATGGTAAAGAATACAGAGCGGGGCATCTGAAAGATTATAGAGCAGGGAGAAAAAGAGGTAGACTGTTCATGACCAGCAGAATAGGTCAGGCCATGAGGTAGGGAACAAGAAAGGAAGACTAACAGAGAGGAGCCAGGAAAGAGAGAGAGAGAGAGAGAGAGAGAGAGAGAGAGAGAGAGAGAGAGAGAGAGAAAGAAGACCAAGAGAGCCAAGAGGTGCATAGTCAAAATGTCAGGGTTATATAGGAATCAGAAGCTGGGAAAAGGAAGCTTTATCTATGTAAATGTGTGTTACATTTGTTTGTGCTGCATTTGTTTAAATATCTACAGATGTGTTTATTTGTTTTCCTTGCCTCCCTAAGGCACCTCATTGGTCTAACAAAAAGCCAAACATCCAGTAGCTAGGCAGGAGAGGTATAGGTGGGGTGGGGGAAAGAGATAATAAACGGAGGAGGAATCTGGAAGGAGATAATGCTCCAACTAGAAATTTTAAGTAAATTGGTTGCAACAACTCTGCGTTGGTCCTGGGTTTCTGCACAAACAATGTAAGTAAATTTGTTGCAACATCACTGGGGAAAGGTGTCCTCACTACCTGGAGAGTCAGGCAACACCTTGAGCTGCTTAGGACAGCTCTGACAGCTGGAACTGCAAGGGGACATTTCAGCCATGGAGGACAAGGTATTCCAGACACCTCAAGCTTCACAGAAAAATAGCTCTGCCCTGAAGGTGTGCTGGACACCTGGAGCTGTTTAGAACATCTCTGATGGCTGGAACTACAAGGAAGAAGCCCAACCCTGGAAGGGAAATTTTTCTGACTTTTCTGGAAAGTCAGGCCTAGAATGGTTTCACCAGGGAGGGGTATCATGACTGTTCTGAAAAGTCAAGGTATACCTACCTTGTGTGATGGGGGATGGTCTCCCCACAGGATATATCAATCCTGTTCTGCTCCTGAAGCGCCACTATAGCTGAGCTTTGCTCAGCCCCCGCCTAAGGGGGCTTCCTATCAGAGCTCTGCTTCTCCAGCCTAAGATGTTGCTTCTTTTGCTTCACTCGGCAAAAGGGGAAAACCACTGCAGAAATGTAGCAATCTTTTCTGGCTCTGGGGAATAGTGCAAAATTTCAGCTCTCTCTTGCTCTGTCCATTGAGGGACCTCTCAGGAAAGATCTTCTATTAAGCTCCACCTTGCTCTGCTCTTTCAGCTCTCCCTTGTTTTGGTCACTGAGGGATTTCTCAGCAAGGATCTTCTCTATGACAGTGAATGAAGATTTTCACACCCAAAAATCTTTTGAGAAAGAGATTTATTTGAGAAGGAGGAGTCCAGAAGAGTAGCTACCTCTAACAGGGTGAAGAGAACAGCATTTTTTAATGGACTAGACAGGGTGGTTTACACAGGATGCCTTGGAGGTGTAGTCAACTAGGGGTTGACTTGGGGCCCAAGGTTCTACTGTCCTGCTCTGTGATTGGTTGGTTTCACAAGTCAGTTGGCCAGGGGCAGTGATGGCTCTGATCTGACTAAGCCAAACTGTGTTGCTTTTTGCCCGGATCTGAGACATCTTTCTCTACTTCTGGGCTCCATGGTTGGGGTGTTTTTCTTTAGCCAGCCCTTTTTCCCTACAGAAATCATATGCTACCAAGTAAAATTTCAAGTAACAGGAATTAGTTACATCTTTTCAGTAGTTGGTCAAAGGGTTCCCACAGTCCACCCCCCCCCCCAACAGCATAGGCTATTGTCAATGTTATTGATTACCTTCCACAACCTGATAGTAAGGCCTTATTCCTGAGCACAGAACTTAACTTATATCATTGAATATGGAGAAAAGGATATGGTATATAACAGGTAGCATCATCGAGGATGATTATCATTAATAGTCCTGGAAGGTACTGTGCACACTGCAGGAGAAGAAAATCAATCATTAGTATGACACATCTACAAGAGTGAGCTATCTTCAAGATATACTGGTGCAATAATGGCACAAACTTTGTGAGAGAAGTCAACAACTTTTAATTGAATTTAAATCCAACTCCATCAGATCAAACCCATAACTAACACTGATAATGAGGCCAATCCTTCAACAAAAGAATGACAAATGAAAATGTGATACATACATACAATTCTACTCAGCTGCAGAGAAAAATGAAGTCATGAAAATTTTCAGATAACTGGGTGGAACTAAAAAGTACTATAATAAGGGAGGTAACCCAGACATGATAAACAAATGCTAAATGTTCCTCCCTCTTTGTGCTTCCTGTCTACACATTTGTGGGTATGCATTCATAACCTGGAATAACTACAGAACTAAGAAAGAAAAACTGGAGAATTTAATGAAAAATCTTGAGATACTGGAATAGCATGCAGGTGCTTCAAAGGGAGAAATAGATGAAATTCAGGGACTTGAACTGATATGGGTACAGAGAGAAAAGAGAGTGACAGAGAAGGAGAGATAAATACTACCAAGGATGTTTGGAGAGACACAGGGAAGTTTATTATCTCATATATATCTAAAGTCATATATAATATGCATGTATTAACATGTATTTTAAAGATGTTATGAAATTTATAATGATAATACTCCCTCCAAGTGCAATGGACTGTAACGGAAAACTCCAGCACCATGCATGAGAAACTCGATCTCTAGTTGTTCAGGGTACTCCAAGTGACCTTCAAAACAATACCAAGTATTATTGCCCTTGATTGATTGGCACACAGAACTTAGATTACAACTCTGTTGCCAAAGTCACAATACACTTTAGATGCAGAATTCAGAGGAATTGAACTGAAATTGACTTGGAACCTCTTATATGACAAGTGGTTTTCAAAAGTGAAAAGCTGCAGAGGGAGAAGAGCAATCACTCGGCTTCTCCAGGTGTGATATCTGTGAACCACAACATTACCTTGACTGGCAAGATATCCATGATGATGCAATAGTGGAACACTCATCTTGGGGCTTTCAAGGGTTGTCTAATTGAACTTGAGGCATACTCACCAAGTGGGAAGCCATGTCTGGCACTGTACATATAGACAACCACTTTGACCTGGAACCATGTAGATCTAAGAGGTGAACCTGCTACTGAAAGTATCAGAATACAGTATAGTTTCTATCTGTTTTCTTAATACCTATCTCTTACACACAGATAAATATAATACCCACCCTCATCAAAAAAGCTTCTTTTTGCAACATATGGAGACTATTACAAAGTCCCACAACTGGTCAAAATGCAGAGAATAATTGATTGCAAGGTGACCAACCACAACTGATAATACATCTGCAATGAGTTCATTCAACCGAAAGGTTGGAAAAAACACAGAAGAGGCAACAGAAAGGCCCAGCACCTAAGAATCATAATTGCTGGTACATATACCCTAGACATGACAGGAAAATACACCTATGAATGCTCAATAGTATGCTTAGTGAAATGTGCTATTATAATCACACCTGTTGGTATAGAAATAAGGGCAGGGGAAATTCTACATGGTCTTACGTCTAGGTGAGGTCAATGGCTGCTGAAAGAGAATCATGTGCCTCAGTAGGAACATCCCATATTGGTTTTCCAATCACAAGTGCTCCACTCAGAGTACATTCACATACAAACAGAACAGATTTGACTCAGTAGGTTATATGTACATGTAATCATATACATATAAATATACATATACATAAGCTGAAAAGCAAAGAACAAATCATAAATACGAGATGAGAATGAGGCACTGGAGGGGGAGAGTGAAGATGGGAGCCATATAACACAACTAGGACTTGAGTTTTTAAAAAATAACCACTACTTTTAAAAAAAAAAGACTTTCATGTGGTAACATTTTGTATGATCTCTGTAACTTTTATGCACATTTGAAACCATTCTGAAAGCTGAATTGTATTAGAAAAGATTTTAAATTAAACCCCATTTTTATGTCCTAGTACTGGTTATTGAGTTTCTGGTTTGGGATCATGAATATTGCAGAATGATCTCTGAATGTGTTCACAATTGCTTAACACAACAACTTTTGACTGATTATTACATCATTTCTTCTGTAAATAGCTAGATTTACAAGGAAATGTGAAGTGTTAATAATTTCTTTGCCTACACTATAAAGATTACCTCTCAACATTTGCCAGAAGCTGAAAAGGTGGCTAAAGCTGTATCCTAACAGCACCCACAAAGAACTCTTTGCCATGTCAGACTACCTTTGGTTTGAAGGGATACATTTCCCTATTATAGAGTATGAAAAAGAAATAATTGAAGAAATTCGCAATAAGTTTGTGATCAGAGATGAAGACACATTCATACTGACTTACCCTAAATCAGGTAAGAACTGTTAGAGTGCTCTTGAAGTGTATGAGGAAGGATAAGGCTTTGACCCTCATTCATTTGGGTGATGAGTGGTGTGCTCTCTATATCTGATGTTTAAAATGTTTTGTGGACATGGATTGCTGTTTGTGAGTGCATTTCACTCAGAGAAAGAACACCAGCCTGGTCTTTGTGGGGAGAGGCTCATCTAGGCCATGCGAGCAATGTCAGTAGATCCTAAGGCTATGGCATTGTTCTGTCTCTGTGTGGAGGAGAGTGGAAGGGAAAAAAACAGAAGAAACAGCACCAAGGTAAAAGTCATGGATGTAAGAATATGTGGAGGAGAGGACAGTGTCAGGTAGAAGAATTACCATGGATCTTTTCCTAGGAGTGAAAACAGTCTCAAAACTCAAGGAACCAAAAAGAAGCAGCATGGACTTTGGGGAGGGTTGTTTTCTGGGTGGCAGAAGCACTGAACACAGGTAAGTTTTAGGTTGCTGACATTGACAGTGAAAGAACATGGAAAGGCCAAGTGCGGTGGAATCCATGAAGAAGATTCATACATTGATCCAGAGAAGAAAGCTAGAGAAATACCCAAGGACAAGTGAACATGTAAACATAAATACAGGTGTGTGTGGAAAATAGACAGAAGGGGATTTATTCACCTAAAGAGAAGCAGTACTCATACACATATTGCAGCATGGATGCATCTCAATTGCTTTGCATTAAAAGAAAGGAGCTAGTCTCAAGGACAGAGTCGACAATTACATCCCTGTGAAGTATCTGGGAAAGTCGAACTCAAAGTACCAGAACATAGAACGATGATGGCCCAGGACTTGAGGGGACTTTCAGTGAATTAATTGAATATAGTCTCAATTTCTTCATGTGAAGCATTGGCAATGTGCTAGATGACCATACTTTGTACTTAGAGCATGTGGACTTTGTGAACTCCACAGGCCTGTGTGCTTGGAAACAGCTTCACTGTAAATTGTACAGGTGTACAGTTTTCTACTTGAGGCTTATTAACAAGTACTGTTGAAATGAGTGACCATTACTTTTCCTTCTTCAGGAACTAACTGGCTGATTGAGATTGTCTGCTTGATTCAGACCAAGGGGGATCCCAATTGGATCCAATCTGTGCCTATCTGGGACCGCTCACCCTGGTTGGAGAGTCAAGGAGCATATCCACTATTAATCAATAAGGAAGGACCACGCCTCATCAGCTCCCACCTTCCTTCCATCTTTTCCCCAAGTCTTTCTTCAGTTCCAAGGCCAAGGTCAGTGTCCAGTGGTTGAGAAATCTTTGACCAAATGTTCTTTGAACTTCATCTACCTCCATCCATAGTTTCCATTTCTGCAACTGCTCTCTCAGAGCTTTCCCTTGATAACCTTCATTTTTGTTTCTTCTTCTTTTAGGACACAAAGAGCACCATAAAGAAGATTTGTGACTTCCTAGGAAAAAAATAGAGCCAGATGAGCTGGATATGGTCCTCAAGTACAGTTCCTTCCAAGCCATGAAGGAAAATAATATGTCCAATTTCAGTCTCATTACAGAAGATATGGCTCCACATGGTTTGGACCTCTTGAGAAAAATGAAGAAGTTTTTGAGCTTTAAATGATGACAGGACATATGGAGAGCATGTTGTTCCAGTGAGTCTCTAGGAAAGAGAGGGAATGGTTCAGAAGTCATTGCTCATCACATCATAGTTTCTCACAGACCTTACAGAAGATTCATTCCATGGTGATGATATGGGCTTCAGTAGATCTGAAAAAATTGATTTGTTCTGGGACAGGTTGTTGGGATTGCAGATGGTTGTGTCCAATAACCTCAGTGGAAAACAAAAGGGTAGACATGTTGCAATGAGGCTTAGTAAGGCTCCCTGTATCATAGAAATCTAAGAAAAACACATAGCGCATGAGACCAAAGATATATTGGCAATGATAATCACAGAAAACACTTCCATTCATGGCTGGAAAAGATGTTGAACACGCCAAAATTGCTGTCCCACACCATGCTGAGTATAGACCCCATAAAGGCTAAGCAAATTATTCACCAGAGTGACACCTGATGGTATTTACCAACCTAAATTTGGATTGCTTTAGGCTCAGGGGTACTCATTTTGTTCTGAATGCCTCTCCAGGAATGGGAATATCCATCTTCTCTATGTCTGTGCTACCTCTCTGACCCACCCAGCAGGCCAGGTTATTCGAGGGTCTCGAGGAGGGACCACCTGTGAATCAATAGGAGGCGAGAGGAAAAGGAGACCAAGTGCGTGAAGAAAGACAGAGTCAGTCTGAGTTGCATCAAGGTCTCCTTTATTGACTGGGTGTTAGAGCTTATAACCAGGGCTTCAGGTAGGGAGGGGGAGCAGGAGGAGTGAGGAGAGGACAAAGAAAATTCCTAGGGGAGGGTCAGCAGGAGGTCGCTTTGGTCCCAGGCCCCTGCAGCTAGCTGATTTAGTACAGGCTCCAAGAAGTTTATTTAATCCTACATTCCTAGGTTAGACTAAAAGCCTCCTATTTACATGAGGATTGATAAATCGTGGAAGGTTACACAGGTTCAAGACACAGCTGTCTGGAGTCGGTACCCAACACCTCTCTATGCTGGGAGCAGATTGTGGGTGTGGTTCCATAGCTGTAGAGTTGAGGAGCCAGTGTATAAAAAAGAACCACACCTGGAAAGTCACCTTTTCCTATTAGCAGATAATTGGTGAGATGGGACTTGGCATTGAAGAAGGAATGAATCAGATGTCAGGTCTTTGGGGATAAGTAGTAAAGAAAATGGATATAGACTCAGCAAGTGGAGAGTTATTGGTTATGGGTTTAATTTTTGTTCTTCCAATAATTTGTATGCTTCAGCCTTAACCTCCAACCCTCCTCCACCCTAGCTTGTAAGGATCAGGTCATAGAACATGAAGATATCATGAGTATACAGACAGAGAATTAAGTTAAAGTGGTTATAAGATTGCATTTAATTTATTACTCCTGGTGTCCTCACAAGTGGAAGTTTGGGCTCAGATTTGAGCACATATACATGTCACTTCAAGAATATCATTGTCTATACACTATGGACTGAGACCTCTGGAGAATCCACCGCTGTTGACAGATAACCTCAGACTGCTGTGCTCCAGACTCTGTGGAGACAGAGTTGTCTGCACTAGAAGTGAATGTCCCACATAAGAAGAGAATTGGCCCATTCTTTGATTTCCTGTAATGAATCAGAATTTGGCAGAGGTAAAAAAGTATGGATACATAAAAAGCTTCAATAAAATGCCAAAAGGAATGAAATGTCTTGTTTAATAGGGAAAGGCTATGGAAACTAACAAGTAAAAGTTTGGTTAATAGAGCAGATATAATAGAATAAGGACACAATTCCATGAAGACAACTGTCATTTTCTCTTTTCCATGTAGACACTTCGAGGATGAGACCACAGTGGGATTTTAGTTAATTTTCTCCAAAATATTGTATTTTTCATGTATCAAATATGGTGATTCTGTCATAAAACTTGATATTTCACAAGTCTTTTGTAATTTATCATAGTGATTATATATGACATCTGTTTCTTCCGTATTTAAAGATACCATTTACTCTGGGGAATTATTTTTCTTTTACTCACACTCATTATAAACCATGAGTCCACTGGAAACAAGGTCATTGAAGGAGGAGACCAACATCATTACCTGCCCAGCCCTGATTCATGACTTCTTTATAGAGGATGCTGAGAGAGATATCTGGGAAATATTTTTGAAAGAATATGATGCATGAGGATAATGTTGGTCTTTTCAATTCCTATGTCATATTGGTTCCTTTTTTTAAATCATGAAGGGAAGAGCAGATCAAAGATTAATTCTAAAATGAATTTAATTACTTACCAGTAGATACTTAGTACCCTAAACCATAATGCATGAACAGCTTTGCTAACTGTTAGACTGGTCTTGAGCAGGAAGGATTCTCTAGACCTATTTTCACTGTCCTTTAGTTGCTCTTCTCAGGACCCAAGACAAATACCTTTCTTTTACTTCTGGAGAGCTACTCTAAAGAGCTACTTTTTACCTGGGAGACTCAATCATCTGGCTAGGTGGAATGAATCTGGTATTAAACTTGAAGCAATAATTATCTACAAACAAGTTTAATCATTATGATTCCATATTTAGATAGTGCAGGAAATACAGATCAGAGAGATGGTCATTCTCAAACATCCACGGGTTAGTTGAAAGAACTTTTATAAAGACATTGGCACAATGAAGACATGAAGAAGGAAAGGTCTTCTGACAAACTTCAAAGGGTTTGGACCTCAGTACTTCACAGTGGATGTTTCCTAAATAGAATGCTTGAGCCATGAATGATTTTCCCTGGTGTCCTTAGAAGGCATTAATGTGAGACAAAGATGGTAGAAGACCTAGAGAGGAGCCCACTATCTGCAGGCCAGTAAAAAGCCAGGGAAGGTCTGGACAACAACTTTTTGTGAGACCTGCCTTCTTGAGGACTATGAGGAAGTTCCTTTCCAACAAGAGTTAAGCCACAAAGATTTAGTTATCCTGTCCTCAGATACACCAGAGTTTGAGGAGATTTTTAGAAAGAATGAATGAAGAGAAATATGCTTGTAAGGGCCACAGGATTTTGACAGAATTTGACTTACAACTTCATGTGTGTACTGCAAAGACATGCTTCTCTCATCTGGACTTATTCAAAACAAGTGGGCAGCCATATTGAATTTACTGAGACTCTGTTAGCTCAGCATCCAGTCTGGCTTATCAAGAACCAGGTGTACTCTGGGAAACAATAGAGAAATGTGTTCTAATAATGAAGATATAAGAAAGCTGAGAGTACCAATAGAAACTTACAAGTTAACTTCTTAAAAGTTGACACTCTTATACTAATATCAATTAATGGCCTATTGTTTGAATATGGTGTATCAATAGTTACAACTTAATTCTGAATATGTTATATTTTATTTAGTAATGGCACTGGGAATTTAAAGTTAACTTATATGATACATAAGGAATACAATGTGATAAGTAAAAACAGATTTCTAAAGTCAGTCTTTTTGGCTTCAAGTCTACATACATCACTATCATGCTGGGTAACATCTCAAGGACTAATTTTTTCTCATCAGCAAAATGGAAACAAGGCCAGTATTTTCCTAACTCATTCATAAATGCTCTCAAAAATTCCACAGAGTATATTCTGTGTGTCTGATATGATTTGATGAATGAATCCTTTGCCGATGAAAGAAACATTTTGCTTCTTAAATATATTAGATACATATTTCAGGCATCTTTACAAAAAGGAAATTCATCAATGTGTCACAGTTATGAAATAAAATAGAACAAGGATGTGGCCAGCAGAGTTCTACATGGAAGGAAAATACGAAAAGGTGGTCACATTGGGCATAAAATAGGAAACAAGAAAAAAGTGAGTATATGGAAGACATCAGCACTCTAGAAAAAATGAACACAAAGTTCAATGAAAGCAGTTACACAGTTTGCCATCTCTAATGGCAAACCTAAAGACATACAGGAATGGAGTGATGAGAACCAAAGTCTGGTAAAAAGATATGCTAAAAAGTTCATGTAGGTCTTGATGCATCACCAGACACCATGCTGATTGAAAACAGAAATCTTGGGATGTTCTCAGTTGGCAGTTATTTGGGTCTCCTGCACCTGATGAAAGCATCAAGATGTTGGCATGCAGCTCACAACAGTGTGCATCTCTAGCTCAAGGGGATCTGATGCCTCAAAGCTCTGCAGGAAGCTGCATTCATGTGTACCTACACACATATAATTAAACTTAATTTTAAAAGATCTTTAAAAAGTTGCTTGCATGTTTTGCAGAACTTTGACAAGTAACCACTAAAATTTAAAAAGAAGAATTGAAACTCTTTGGATAATTAAGTTTAGAAACTCTGTAGGATTGGACAGTGTGATGAAAGCAGGTGTAGTGGGAAGCAGGAATAATCTGAACATCTAAAATGGAGAGCTAGTGTGAAATCTGTTAGAGTGTGTAGGCAATATGATAAGATAGGAGAAGGGGAGACATTATTGCCAGAGGTAGAAATGTGATGTATAATTTTTTAAGGTGGAAGATGTGTTCTCCAGGAAATCACTGGTCCTTCCCCTTTATTAACCCTAAGGTCCTTGTCAAATGGATGGTAAGATCATGTGAAGGAAGGACTGAGAGCAGTATTGAGATCATCATTAACCCATCTATGTGTCTACTTCACATTTTCTGGGAACGACTGGGGACTGGAAGAATCACTTTACAGTAGCCCAAGCTGAAGCCTTTGATAAAGTATTCCAGGAGAAAATGGCTGGTTTCCTTCCAGGGCTGTTTCCATGGGAATAAATTCTTGAAACTGAATATATATATTGAGATTGGGGTTTATTTTCCTGTTCTTGTATATGTGAATGACTGGATGTTGTCACAGAATAAATCCTGATACTGATTTGGGGTTGGTTTTTTTTTTAGATATTTATTGACAGAAGTATTAGTAGTGGTAATAGTAGTGGAGGTAGTTGTAGTGTGTGTGTGTGTGTGTGTGTGTGTGTGTGGTGTGTGTGTGTGTGCGTGTTACCATATTTCTGTGTAGAGTTCTTTCAGAGATCAGAAGAGCACATTGGTTCTCATGGAGCTACAGTTAAATATTTCTATAAGTTACTTACTTTGTGTCTTGGAACTGAACTCAGATCCTCTAAAAGGGCATTACTGTCCTCTTGACCTCAGAATCATCTCTTCAACTCTGAATCTTGAAGTCTTGAGTCATCAAATATTTGCTTCTTTTATTATAGTTTGTTCCGTATTATCAGCTATCTCCAATATGCTTCATGGAATCTCAGCTTAAAACAATTCTTGTAACATTTTAAACATAAAAAAACTACAAGAAAATTTATGCAATTTTTACTCTGTGACTTTGGTGCAAAAGAAATTTTTAAAATGTGTTTATAGAATCTTTGAAACTTCATTCAAACAGCCTAAGGTGTAATAAGACCTTTATAAACTTATATTTCTGCTCAAAATTTTATATCTCTATTTTACTTTTTCTTTTTTGTAATTTTAGTGGGTGTTTAAAATGTTGTGTTACATTATGAAACTTTGATACAGACATGCCTATCATTGTAATTTATTCAGTATTTCTCCTCTATTGCCCAGTCCTGTCCTTATGCTCCTGTTATTAGGTACTGCTTCTACATTGCCCACTCTGCTTGTGTGTCATAGAGACACACTTATATTTAAATCCTGATGTGCAGATGGGAAAAGAATGCATTATTTTCTCTCCTTTTAAGATTAAGGGGAAGGTTCTTCTGATAGGCATGGTGGAGAATACAGAGAGGGGCATCTGGAAGATTCCAAA